GCATGTTTCCAAACAAAATATCTCTATGGAATTACGGCATTTTTGTTGGAAAAAACACAAGTGCCTGAAACCACCAGGTCACAGAACTGCGCAGGATCATATCCACCGAGTTCTCAGACTTTGCCCTGCCCCACAGCATGACGCTCTGGTGCCAGCGGCCGCACACAGTCATGGCGCCCATAGCAGCGCTGTAGACCAACTCGTTGGGCCGCAGGCGGCGCAGAGCCAGGGCCTGGAAGAGCTGCAGGCAGTCCATCCAATGCTCCAGGCGTTGGCACAAACACATGGCCTGCAGCTGAGATTTTGGACAAAATCTTCGCTCAACCTATTTTTGGGGGGGCAGGAACATGCAAGAACATGAAAAAAACACGTGAGACCTTCCGGGGTCCAGTCTGGGCTTCTATCCGTGTGTTGCACAGAAAAAAAGGCTGGTACTTGGCACTCCCCAAACTGCCGCCAAAGGGCCGATGCTACTGCCACCATGTTCACCACACGTAGGCCATGAGGCCACACCGCGGCTCGTTCAAAAGAACTCATGAGACCACTGGAAGTGAAATCCTTGGGCTTCAGCTGACAGAATTCTGTTATGTTCTGTTGAAAGGGGTTGGTTGGCCATGGTTTTGCTACGTGGGGGGTTCAAATGGGGGGTTAAGCCAAACGCGATGAGGGGTTACACAAACTTGGGGTTGTTTTCAAACTTTGGAGCAGGTTTGTCAACAAAAAGGGTGAGGTTGCCAGAACTCAAAAAAGGTGATTCTAAATGAATCAAAACGAATGTCCGCTAGATTTTCATAGATTTTCTATGCAATCCAAACTGCCAGCCTAAACCTTTGATTGACATCAACAAAATGTTATAAGCAAATCCATGAGGTCATCTCCGTTGACCTGATGTCGACTCATCTCCTCTGCCAAGTTCACTGCATCGCCCCAACAGGTCGCAGCTGCGTAGCCGTCCAGCGCCGTGTTGAAGGTGATGGCATCCGCTTGCGGCCCATGCCGCAGCGTCTTGAGAATGTGGGCAGCACGTTGCCATCCTGCCAGGTCTTGGGCTTGAGCCATCCCCCAATAAACCAGGTGACTTGCGGGATCATCATGACATTTGGGGGATATATCATCCTCTCATTTTTTTGGGGGCGAGTGGATCAACATCCTGTGTTGGGCGCGTGCTAATTGAAGTGGCTGGAAGGCCTCCCCCCCAAGGAAAAAACATGTTTGAAACATGTCTGAAACCACCACCCAGCATCTGACTGCCGCCATCAAACCATTGGTGCTCACCAGGTTCCCTTCCAAACTTTGCATTCGCATCGTGTTCAGCTCCACTGCCACCGGCCATGGTGCCGACAGCGCTGTGGTGGCACTGACGATGGCACTGTAGCTGATGACATCCCGCCGCAACGTCGCATCGCTGAAGCCTCCGAACAGCTGCAGGGGCTGCTGCCAGGAGGCGATTGCCAGGGGCGCCAAAAATGAGGTGCTGCTGATGGCGCTGTTCAAGCTCACACTGGTCACCTGGAAAATGGCCCCAAAATTGCTAAAAACCCCTGAGTTTCTCAGTGATTTTAGGGTTGAGCAAAGAGCATTTGGTCCCAAAATGAGCAAAGAGAGTGGACTATTGCAAAAAAAACAATCGGGAGCATCAGTCAGTGACTAAATGTTTATATATATGTATATAATATTATATTTATATTATATGTATATATATAATTATATATATAATGCCGAGTCTTGCTGCTGATATTCCCTCAGGATCTGCAGGCAACCTCCGCAAAAACGATTCTGGGTTCATGTCCAAAAAATGATAGCATATTGCTAGTTTCCTTCCACTTGACTTTCGATTTAGACAAGTTTGATCATTTAATTCCAAGATGTCTCCAATTTTTTTTTACATTCATCAATCATAATTTAATAATTCAAAAAACATTGGCCATCTCATTTCATTCCCCAATCATTCCCCAAGCAAAGATAGATAGAATTTCCACCAAAAAAGATCCCTACCATCCCCTACCTTCACGAAATCCCTCATGCACCGTAGCAGCTCCAGAGCCCTGCGCCACCGCTGCTGGGAGATGAGCAAATTGAAAGTGACCACGTCGGGGTCCCAGCGTGCAGCCAACATCGAAGGGAGGAAATTGAAGGAAAACTGCCAGGAAGTTCTGCAAGCCTTGGAGTTTTGATGAGTTTTGATGAGTTTTGGTCAGTTGATCGTGAGAATCGTGAGTCGAAGTCTTTGAAAGAAATGGGGAGAAGTTCTGTGTGTTTACAAGGATTCAGCAGTAAAAATAGTCCAAACATATGTTTAACCTATGTGTGAATACCATGTGTACCACCGTGAATGTACAGGAATGCATGAATGTCCATGTTTTTTCCCTCTCTCTTTCTCCTCCTCCTTTCTCCATCCCACCAGGTTCATCTTCGATGAAGAAGGTGTAGATCAAAAGTATTGGAGCCACCAAAAATGGGAGATTCAACAAATCCAAAATAAGAACTCCTTTAATGAATAATTATATAATGCTCCCTGACATGTGTCCTTGCTTTCTTGCTGAAATATACCAAAACTGTTTTGCTGGCTCTGTCGGTCTATCGGAGAGCCAACTTGGACATCTTCCCATTTGGTGCTGGTTGTTGGTCACAGATGTCAAATAACTCCCATGGCTCAAGGTTTTACCACTTCATCTTCGGTCAATTTCGTTCAGTATCCTAAAGTGTCATATAAATATCTGCAGAATCAATCTGCTTCATCCAGTCACAGCACGTTGCTGAAGACATCCCCTGTCCCCTATCGCTAGTAGAACTTGGCTGTGCATCCACTTTGAGTTCACCCAGTGAAGGCATTCAGCCAGTTTCCATGGCTAAAAAGCCCTGACCAGCTGGCATGTACATGTCCAAAAATGAGCATACCCATGGCTATTTAAGAAGCATATGGAAGATGATAAGCATTGCCAAACGGCCAAATCATCAAATTCATTCAAATTCAACAGTTTTTCCACGGTTTTCCCATCATTCTTCGTCATGTTTTGCTGAGAATCACTGATGGCCACATTGTACGATCTCCGATTCGCCGGCAGATCTTCACGGTCGAAGCTGAAGCGATGCACTGCCTGTTGCCAGTCCTGGGAGGCGCCAACAGCGGTGTTGAACATGATCACATCTCCTGCTGCAGCAGACTCCAGGAAATCTGTGGATTTTCCCAAAACATGCCAAAACTCGGGCAGTTGAACGAGAAACCTCGAACTAACTGGGGAATTTTCCAGTTTTGCCATGATGAATTACCAGAGGGTAGCTGGAACATTGAAATAGCAATAGCATGCGATGGCTGTTTAAAAACTTGATTCCTGGTTCATGGATGAGGATGGTGATGAGGATGAGGATGATGATGACGATGATGACGATCCCCCATTGGTGGGAAGGATGCTATGCAAGTACATCCTCCGCTCAAATCATCAACCGACTGGCGGTTGGAACACTGCTCCAATGGTTTCCGCCAATACTTCCTTCAATTGAAATTCTGGGGCACAGAAAGTCTCGAATCTCAACCATGTTTCTTGATGTTTCTTAAGAATTTTTGGGTCTGGCTGATCCGATGGCACTTTGGCCCGCGGCACCTTGCAGTTGAGATCCTCCAAAACATCGCAGAAGCTCGCTGCCACGTCGCCAGGCACTCAGACTCCTCAGGACGCTGGAGAAAATGATGGCATTGGCCAAATTTTTGCCATGAGCCTCCGCCAGCAAGCACAAAGCCTGCGGCCACTGTCCTGAAAATGCTTAAAAAATGAAAGGGGCAAAGAGAAACAAAGCCATGGTGCTAAAGGAAACGGTGAAAAACTATGACTTAATTACAGAATCAACACATATCAACTAGTCTAAGTATTGACACACAACACCAAAAAAAAACGTCAGATCTCCCAAAGAACGGCTTGAGGTTCAACCTTCAACAGTTGAGACAAGTACAGGAAAGCTCAAAATCAACGTCTCCCTTTTGCCCAGTTTCTGCACGCACCAATGGCCTTGCCATACTGCCAAGGAGTCTGGAGTGGGCCATCCCGGGGTACATCTTGCATGGAGCGACGTATCTCCGTGGCTGCGCCATGGGTTGCGACCGTGCGGTGATCCCAGCAAGAACCATCCTACGTAGGGATCCTCCAAGGGTTGGATGGATGGAATTGGTACCCTGATAGACTGGATCTTTCCACAAGTTGGCTATTTAATGCGATGTATGCAAACTGGATTATCCTGCAGCCGTAGGAAGGCAGAAATGAAACATGATGACAAACCACATCAAAGGCTTCTCTTTCAGAAGGTCACACAAGGAAACACCGCAGTGTCGAAATAGTGGCTTCACTTTCTGTTGAAAGCCTGTGGACCTGTGGATTTTGGTGGCCTCCCTGTCAGACACTGCTAGAGTAACTGAGTGGTGGGAAATCCCGCTGCCGCTGCCGAAAAAAAAACTTCCCCCGTTCAAAGGATTGGGCTCTCTGGAATCAGGGCCTCAAAGATCTCAAAGTTCCCATTTCAAAAACGCCACTAAGCCCACGATAATCACTGCATATATCTGGGTAACTCATATTGAAATAAGGCTTCATTCGGATAATCCCCTTACCCGTCATCCCAGTAAGTCGCAGTTATAATTTACCCCGCCTGGATAGCCCGGGGGCGGCCTCGGTGCGTAGAGGAACCAACAAACTCCGCAGAAATGGTGGTTAGAATACCCCTTACCCGGTGAACAATGATGAACTGAACTTAACTGAAGCATTTTAGGAACTATCATTGGACTTGATTTCATGGATGCAACATGATGCAACACGATTCAACATGATGCAACCGTGCAGTTTCTAGTGCGTCAAAAAGGGAACAAAATTCTCCACGACATGCCCCTACCGATGATTCTGAGCTGCAACCTGAGTCATTTCCATGTACATTTCGAAGTTCTGACCCCGATCTGGCAATTGTCCATATGGGTGGCGGACCCCAAAAAAACTTTCTACCCGCAATGGACATGGCCAAAGTGGGTCCATCTGTGGGGTCTTTGGGGGGCACAGTTTGCCCTTTATGGTTCTTTAACATGACGGACAATCCCAGCTTTGGGAACATATTGGATTGACTAAATCCTGGGTGATTTTCCAGCAAGGCCAAAGATGTGAAGTTCCTGGGTGTCCATCTCCCACATTCCCCTGTGGTGCGCACGGACTATAGCCATACGCCGGAGGGTGGCCAGGGTGGCCTTCCAAAATATGAACGGTTCACTCGCTGATTGGGTTGAGATGTTTCCAGACCCTATCCCCATTTTTGGTGGTGAAAACTTGCTCCATCTTTCTCCTCATCGCTTGGTGTGTCTTAGTCTTTGAGAATGGGTGACCCTGCAGTTCTTGTCATACCTAGTATCTAAAAAAACACAGGTTGGTAAGTATGGCAAAGATACGAACTTGATGAAATCGACATCCAACTTTAGTCACGGAAACCTACATTTAAGGCTTTAAGCTGAATCAATCCCTCATTCGAATGTTCAAGAGTGTCTTATGAAATATTGGTCGCTGTGGCTAATCTCTCCCAAACTTGTGGCTAAATGTAGGTAACCATTTCTCAACAATCAATAGTCTATAGTGGAAAATGAGAACCTGTCAAAACATCATCCTTGATATATTATATTAATGTATGATAGGTAATTTGTGACGAAAAGTCATTCATTGCGGGTAAGACAGCACCTCCTTCCCTAAAACAAACCCAACATATATAGATAGATATTTTAGAGCCTCCAAGTACTCCTGAAAATGGGCAAACGTCTCAAACATATGGGTGTATATATATATATAATTATAATTATAATAAATAATAATAATAATAATTTAAAGATAATAATAATGAATACTCGGATCTCAAAGTAGATGGCTCAGAATCTTGAGTTGCGCCATCTATGTCCAAAAAAAAAATGGGGGATAGATGGCTCAACTCCCTTTAAAACAGGCCAGTTGAGCCATCTATGTCCCAAAAAATTGCATATTTTTTGCAATCTTCTGCGCTGGTTTCTCCCCATAATTTTTTCTCAACATCAAGCTGCCTTTTTGGGACATAGATGGCTCAACTGGCCTGTTTTAAAGGGAGTTGAGCCATCTATCCCCCATTTTTTTTTTGGACATAGATGGCGCAACTCAAGATTCTGAGCCATCTACTTTGAGATCCGAGTAACAATAATATGTATATATATAATTATATAATATGTGTATAATATTATCATATTTTGTTCGGGTACTTGGAAGGTCTACGTAGATTCTATAGTAAATCTTACAGGTAAACATAGGTAAACTAACATAATTAATGTGGAAAATCCGCCAGCTAAGATCATAGTCCTATATATACTAATTAGTTTTTTTTCTGCTGAACATTAGCCCAGAGCGTTGCCGGCCTGGCGGCGGCGCGCCATACGCTCCATAGCCCGGCGGTGGTGGGTGCATGGGCGGAGGGTAGCCGTACCTGCGAATGGATGGATCAATGGATTCATTTTCAGGTAAATTCTGCTGGAAATCTTGGTTCTTCACGATTTTTGGCCATGTTTTCACCCCCGAAATTCCTGTGACTTCCCGGAATGGATCCAAAGCATCCAATGGGATCTGATCACTGGGGCCACCAGCTGGTAACCAAGCAGATCATCCAACGTTTTTCCCATAGCAAAGCTGGGCTGAATCACACTGAGATTCCGACTGCGGTGGCGGTGGGTAGCCATAACTATAGCTGCTGTAGCTATAGTCCGGTGGCGGCCTGTAAAACTCCAACCCCCCTGGTGCTGGCACATGTGACAGAAATTTCAGCCTTGTGGCATGATAAAATTGATAAAATATCTGACTTCCTCAATTACGATTCACTAAATTCACTAGACATATCTGAACATCTTCTATCAAGGTTCAAGCTCATGCCCGGTCTTGCAACTCCATGAAAAGATAGAAACTTTGGAGCGTGTTGGAAGGCCAGATTTTGGTTGAACCCATGGGAAATCAATAGATAGCTTATACTAAAACCCTTTCCAAGGCACGTCACATGCATCTTGCGCGTAGACTCAGTATGACACAGCAACTAATTTGGAATTTTGATATTGACAAAATACAGATTGATATGATATGATTCACTGTTGTGCAGGTCTTTTTGAAGATAGAACACCCTTCTGCCCTCCTTTTCTGACCCAAATGCCGCTGCGCTGCGACGCTGCGCAGGTGGAAACATGGGCCACCATGAATTACAAGGCCGGGAGCCGTTCAATCAATTTGGAATAGTGAATAGTGGCTTCAATACAATAAAACACAAATACGGATATAAGTAAAATAATAAATCTTGTCAAAGAAATTCGCTGAAAGTCATTCATTTACAATCCACACTTGGCCCCACTAACTTCCAATCAGCCCAAAAAAAAAAACACAGGAATTATCTGGGACGCTCCCAGGATCAAGTGATCTTAAATCAAATCCACAATGTCCACAGAGGAGCGCGTGAGCCCTGCATTGATCATCGATCGCATCTTGCTGGCCAAGCCCGGGGCCAAGGCGGCTTTGAGCCTCTTTTCCCTGAGAAATTCCAGGGCTTGCTGCTCCAAGGGTCCACGGCCATCTCCGAAATGAAACAGCTCCCAACGGTTCTCACCTTGGTCCAATCAAGCCTGTTAGCCTGTTGGCTTGGGCTGGAAGGAGGATTTTACACATCGACATTGGATTTCCACAAACAAAATGGAGATGTGACAAACCCGAAACCAGTGAAGCCGCCACACCAACAATAATTCATATAAACAATCTTCGAAATTGAGACACCACAAAAAATAAAATAAAGGAAGAAATCACTTGGAATCACCATTGAAATCACCTAAAGAGGGTTTCTATATACCACAAGGAACTGGTCAACATCGACAGCACATAGCTCCCACTCGGCGCTCCGCCGGTCACCGCTGCAGTGACCGAACTCTCCAGCGCACGGCTGGGCGCGCTCCGGGGGGGCGGCGGCAGGTCATCGCCGTAGCCGACGCTGTCGCTGGGGGTGAAGGAATGGGAACAGGACAGCGGAGGAGAGATGCAGGGACCGCAGGGACCGCAGGGACCGCAGGTACCTGAAAGATGACCTGGTCATTTCAACAAAAACAAAGCCTATGGTCCTATAATGACTATAATGTATTCATGTATGATACCGATCATTTCTAGTACCTTGTTTTTTTGAGTATTCTTATTTTTTGCCATCAAAATCCATCAAATACTTCAAATGATTTCAAAAATGGGTGTTTCCATAGTAAACATATATGTAAATGTTGGACAAAACTTCTGGCATGTTGGTGGTGGAGGCACCTCCCTGCATTAGATACCCCCAAACTGCCGCCCCAAGAGGCATTCCGTCTAGGAGTGTGGGATCATCGCCTAAATTGGGAGGAAACAACGAATTTAAGATGACCGTCAAGTGACCAACAGGAAGATGTGGAAGTTGACCAACTGGTCCAACTGGTCCAACTGGTCCAACTGGTTGACTGAAATGAGCAACTGGAAGTTGACTAGCTGGAAGTGGAGCAACTTGTGGACCAGCCGGACGCTCTATCCTGGACATGTCATGCACCGCCCCAAGATGATGCCGTGGAAGTTGTACAACTGTGGGCCCCAAAGCATCAGGAGCAGAGCCGAACATCTCCCCTGCGCTCCTTGGATCCCTTGGGTGTGCTGGGTTGGCGGGAAGGAGGTGAGCTGTTTGAAGGGAAACCATTTGGTGCCCTTCGGATTGCCGTGGGAGCTGTGGCTCTGCCCGGCTGAAGGCGGGCGAGCTAATGGGTGGACGTTCCAGCCGCTGAAGTTCTTGGAACCGTTCCTGGTTGGATTCTTGGAGAGAATGGATGGTGCGATCTGCGACTTCCTGCAGGGTTCCCAGGTTTCCTCGATATTTTTTTTGGACCGGGTCAAGCATCTAATGAAATCTAATGAATATGAATGTCACCATATTCAACCAGCAAAAGGTGTTTGAAAGCCCCGAAATCGGAAATTGTTTGAACTTTATATTTTAATTTGTAGAGCACCCAGTCCTTTTCCATCTTGATCTTCTCCAGTTGCTCCCTGCACAGCTGCTCTTCAGACTTCCAGCGCTCCAGCTCTATGCGCAAACGACCATTCGTCTCCAACAGCTTAGCTTGTTCTGCTTCCTTTTCCGCAGCTCTGCGGATGGTCTCCTCACTGTTCTGAAGACGGCTGCGTAACTCCTCCTGCTCCAACTGTGCCTTCTGTTTCCACTCATCGAATTCACCGGTGTGCTGGGAATCCATATTCTTGGCTTCCTTGAGCTCTGCTCTCCATTGCTGCACTTCCTCCTTCAAAACAAAAATCTCACCGCCTTGCTCCTCATGCCGCACCCACAGTTCATGGTAGGACCGTCGTTCCTCATCCAATTCTGCCTTGATCTTTTCCAAAGCCGTCTCTGCCGCTTCTCTGCGACAGGCCTCTTCTTGGGCTTTGGCTGTTGGCTGAGCAAGGAGTTCGTGGTAAGACCGTCGTTCCTCATCCAATTCTGCCTTGATCTTTTCCAAAGCCATCTCTGCCGCTTCTCTGCGACAGGCCTCTTCTTGGGCTTTGGCTGTTGGCTGAGCAAGGAGTTCGTGGTAGGACCGTCGTTCCTCATCCAATTCTGCCTTGATCTTTTCCAAAGCCATCTCTGCCGCTTCTCTGCGACAGGCCTCTTCTTGGGCTTTGGCTGTTGGCTGAGCAAGGAGTTCGTGGTAGGACCGTCGTTCCTCATCCAATTCTGCCTTGATCTTTTCCAAAGCCGTCTCTGCCGCATCTCTGCGACAGGCCTCTTCTTGGGCTTTGGCTGTTGGCTGAGCAAGGAGTTCGTGGTAAGACCGTCGTTCCTCATCCAATTCTGCCTTGATCTTTTCCAAAGCCATCTCTGCCGCTTCTCTGCGACAGGCCTCTTCTTGGGCTTTGGCTGTTGGCTGAGCAAGGAGTTCGTGGTAAGACCGTCGTTCCTCATCCAATTCTGCCTTGATCTTTTCCAAAGCCATCTCTGCCGCTTCTCTGCGACAGGCCTCTTCTTGGGCTTTGGCTGTGGCAGTTGCAGCTGCTGGGCTGAATTGTGGGGAAACTGTCTGCTGTTCAGCCTTGTGAAATGTATGCGATGCATAAGCTTCAGCCCGCATCTCCCCAGGCGGGCTGGAAACCACCAAGGAATCCCTGCTGTTCAACCCTGGAGACTCAGCTGGCAAGGTTACTGGCTCAGAAAATACTGAAGAGATCGATGTCCAAAGCTCCTTTGGCTCCGAAGCATCCCCTACCTCTGCACAGGCCCTGGCTTGGAAAGCATAGGCCTTGCCGCGGGTCCAGGAGTCGATCAAACATCGCTGCTCCACCTGGCTGCTGGCCTCACACTGAAAGGTGCGAACCCGTAGGCGGCCCCCGACTCCATCTGAGAGTTGTTGAACCTGCAGGGCGTCACATCGGCCCCCCCAAATTGTCCGTATTGCAGGCCCCTTGAAATGCCATGGATCAAACCTTTTAGCCAACTGCTTTCCGGTACTACACAGCTAAAATCATTGTAATGACTTTTGGAAACCCTGACCTCAAATCGCACAGATCTCAAGGGCCATGTGGGCTGCCCTGGCTGCCAAGGCTGCCAGAACCAAGTCAGCTCAATTGCTGCGTCGTGCAGCTTCAACTGTAGCCTCTCAGGCGCCCTCAAAGTGGGGACGTTGGGCTGAAATCTCTCCTGGGTGGCATCTACGATTGGAGAATTTCTATATCATGATTTTCGCATAAAAGCCGTAATTATCCGTAATTATCTATTGTTATGTTCGACTCATTGGTTGCTCCAACCCCCTTGAAATGATCATGCAAACCCCAGAGAAAAGCAAAGTGAATAAACCCACCAACCAGTTTCAGGACGTGCCATGGCTGCAGTTCTGGCTTCCTGCTGCACCTCAAAGATACGTCTCTGCAACAGTTCTCGTTGGGTTTGAAGGGCACTTCTCTCCTCCTCCAAATTTGATAGCAACGTGAGCTGCATCTGGCCCCGGCTTTCCAAGTGCGCGCAGGTCTGAAGGAGTTGTTCATCGGTCATGACGGTCATGTCGGTGCCATCCATGACACAAAATCGTCTCAACCGATCTTTGGGTTGGACAAATTCGGAAGGCTGCGATGTTGTGGAAAATTGTCATGGTTCCCGGATGTTCCCGGTGAGTGATGGGAAGACGCACAACTAAACAATTGTAACAAGGTCGGATTCGCCGTTAAAATCTATCTCTGCATGTCTGTCGTTCTGCATGCGTGTCATCCGCCGCATTTATCTGCTTTCAGTCACCTCTGGGCACCTATGGCAGCTGGGTATGTCCCAGCCCAAGCGACGCGCCTTGAGCCATTGGGCACCAAGAAGCCTTCTTATTAGTTCCCCTCAGACCATGCATTTGAACACTGAACTTCACTGAACATGATGCTAAGAACACACACACACACAAATATAAATATATATATATATACATACATATACATTACATATAAGATACAAATATCAGCGCACAGCATGCACAACAGAGGTGCATGATTACCCCAAAATACCCCAAGGCTTAAGGCCTTGAAAAACAAAAATGAGCACTTCACTTGGTTCTCTAGAAGGTACTTTTTTTCCCGGCCACTCTTGAGTTCAAACATCTTTCTCACGATATTTATGTCTGACCTATCCTGCATCTATATTGTTATCTCCCTCACTTTCTCCATGCACACACACATATATATATAGAATACAATTATAATATATAGATATATACACATATAATTCCGATGAATTTGATGCGCACGTATATATATATATAATTATATATATATATAACAAAACACAGCCGTTCTACCGCAGGTCGTGTCCATTTGATCACTTGGCAGTTGCTCACCCTGATGGATAAGCGGGTGCTCGGCCATACGGCTCCGCCTGGGCATGTTTGAAGCGTCAACAATCGGGATTTCTTGGGGATATACCCTCTGGTAAACAAACATAACTATGCAAAATCACAACTATAAATGACCATTTTCAATAGCTATGTTAGTTTACCAGAGGGTAATGGAACATACAATTCGGATACAATGGGGTATAATGGGACATATACAGTAACCAACCACAATGATTTGGATATGTGTAAAGACGGGGGGTAAACGCCCCAAATTGCCATTTGAATAGGAAACATGATGATTATTAACCACTGAGCATCTTTTTGCGCTACCCAATTTTCGGACAAACTCACCGTCCTTTACAGAAACGTCATGCAACGGGAGTCTCCCACCCAACATCTCTTAACTTGAAAACCATCAAGGATTATACAAACTATCACTTTTCAGATGCCGTGTAATGTGGCAAACCCAATAATAAAACACCCCCGAATCACCATTTCACCATTTGGGTGGGATGTCAACCATCCCCATGGTAGTTGTGGCATTGGATTGCCCACATTGTTCCAATGATCCAGCAATCATCCACTATTGTGGGTGATACACTCTGGTATTTTAACATAGCTATTGCACATGGCCATAGAAATATAGTTGATTTACCCATCAAAAAAATGGTGGATCTTTCCACAGTTATGGGACAACCAGGGGGTACATGTGATACCCTCATGAGTAACCTCTGATTGACCGTTGATGACATGAATTTGTGACACCAAAGGCTTCCCCCGTTCCCCAACAGGGGCTCCCCCACCATCCCGGCTCACCCCGCCGCCGTCCCCCTGCTGTCGGTCACGTGACCATGGTGAGCTGAAATGGCCGCGAGTGGAAGTCAATGGCGTTGATTTCAAAAAGATGGGAAAAAACATGAAAAAACCAGAGATTCAATGGATTGGTTTAAGGGAAAAATTACAGGAAAGTCCGATATATTGATAATTTAATGAGAAAATCTATGGCTTCCTGTGGATTTTCCCTTAAACCAATCCATTGACAGATGGAAAAAGATGGAAAAATATGATAAATTAAATCAACTATTATTTGACTTATATAGATGGATTAAAACAGACTACATAGAGGTAAAAAGATTGAACTTCCTCTGCGGTAAACTAACATAGCTCCGGACAATTGCCATTTATAGATGATTTAGCCAATACATCAACATTGTGATTTTCCATAGCTATCTAAATCATCAAAAATGGTGGTATAATTACTCAAGTATACTGGGGATCTAATTTATCATTGTTTGAGATATTTATATATGGAATATGGGTGTGATACCCTCTGAGAATCAAACATGGCTAGCTGGTCAATCCCCATTCAGTTGGATTTTCCCATACTTTCCCAGCCGGCCATTTCAGTTGATTCCAGTGTGGATTGTGGCTATCCCTCAGTTGGAAGCCATGACTTGGACACTGGGCTGATCGTCAAGGAGCTTCTTGATGGTTTTTCCTATGCTGGAAGTACACTGTGTGACACTCGTGGCAGGTCTTGTTGCCGCCATTCTGGATCCCATCAAGCAGCGACGACCATCGATCATTCATACTGTTTCATGCCGCCGACATGGCCATGGTCATTGCGGGTTGGGAAGTTGGTTACTTTAGCGGCCTCAGAAGCACCCACATCATCCCACATCCATATCATTCTTGTCGACACCCTCATCTTTACTGGTTTTAATCAACCATGTCTGCCAGCAGTGTCCTCTTTACATCCTTTTGCATCATTTTACATCATGATTCGCGGGAAATTCACAGGTCGCCGGGCGCCGTGTGTGTTCCTTGTCGCATCTTGGCCTCTCCACGGCGCCGTCCCCTTGGTACCGCTTGTGGGCGCGTTCGCACCGGGCGGGACTTCATCCGCGCGCCACGTCAAGAGCACTGGAAGGACAGGCAGTGCCGGAGCTAGTCGGAGACCTCAGTGGTGAAAGGATGGAGGGCAACAACTGACCCGGGCCCCATCCAACCAATGACTAATTATTGATATTATAATATTATATTATTATATGATATGATTGGGGGATATTGGGGGTATGATGGGCATTTAGTTCGATGATTTTTCCGAGCTATAAACCTCAAGTTGTAGATTCAGCCAGCCACGTTTGATTACCGATGAGTATTTGGTACTGAACATCAAAATTGTCAGAGCAACAAATGTGGTGATTCTAGACACCGTCGGAATAAATCACTTCGTTTGTGAAGTGATCAGAAATTTCGCTGGCTATAAAAGCTATATAAGTCGCCAAAGAACCATGTTTCCCTAGAAAAACATGCCTCAACAGGAATCAACATCGCTGACCTCACACTGCGTGGCTTCCGAATCGCTGTCAGAAACGGCGATTCTGCAGAGGTGGCCGTTGGGGCGTAGGTAGCAACTGAAGAGCAACAAGCAGAAGAGATTGCCTGGGATTTACCCGTCCAACATGCCGGTTTTTCACATGGCCCACAGAAATTTAGTTGATTTATGTTGATTTACCCAGCTATAAAATGGTGATGATTTTCCATAGCTTTATGACGTGTTATGTTATATGACCAGAGGGTACGCTTGAAGGGTCCACAAAAGGAAAAACAAATAACATATTCCATCATATTCCCAGATGTTCCCTGCATATAGCAAAGCCCGAAAAATAGAGAAGACTATTATGCCCCAAAAATAGTCATGATATATTGATAGTCATGATATATTGTCATTATTATCATTATTTATTACGATTACGATTACGATTACGATTACTATTATCATTATTGTCATTATCATTATTATTTATTATTTGCCTTTCTATCTTGTCGGGGGATTACTCTAATCAGCATTCCCAAATGGGATTTACTTACTCTCTGGTAACCCAACAGCTTGCCAGGGAAAATGGCATTGGATATACAGACAGTTATTTATACATGATTATAGATATATATGGAAATAATATGAAATAATCATCTACAAGTGGCTAATTGTCCATGGCTACGTTATGCTACGTTATTTTTTCAGCATAAGATTCTCCAAATGGTGGGTTAGTGGAACTACGATGGAAGAATGACATCACCGTCGGCAAATCCAAGTCTCAGGGAAAAACATAGCCCAAACTCAGGGGTGCCAAATCCAGATGCACCAGGAGATAGTTCAGTGGAATCACGGGCAAAGCTAAAAGAGACAACAGAAATACCGCGTAAACGTCACCTGACGGATGCACTGCGGCGTTCAGAAAAATGGACGACTGCCCCACAAAAGATCACCCAAAAATAGGGGAACCCATGGGAACCCCAAAAGGCCTACTGGGCTGCCATGGCTTGTATCATCCAACTTTTCGGGAGAATCACCCATGGCGGGGCCCAAGATGGCCACGGATCAGACTGGTCTGGCCGGGCATTGCTTGAGCAAAGACCTGTGATTCTGACAAATGGGGAGTTGAACAATAAAGGCTCTCACACTTTGAGAGAGACCATTGTGGGGCCACAAAATGGTCATGTCCCTAATGGAGTCGTATATCGTCTTGCAAAGCTGTCGGGATAATGATCATTCTACGTGGTTTTCAGATTGACCTAAGCCCGCCTGCATGCCGCAACAGCTCACCCATCAAACCACATTCTGAATCCTTGGGACATATATGACATGGCAGCCACAGCAAGCTCCAGCTGCAATCACATCTTTTTTTTGCTATGTCGATTATGTCATGGGAACGACGCGGTGCAGAAAGGCACTCAACAGGTAGTAGATGGGCACATAGGCCAACCTTAGCTGCGTCCACCATGGTCCACCTGGCTGTGGCCTACCCTACTCACCTCATTACAAACTTGCTCATCGACTCATCAACTAAAGATAGAGGTCGTCCTCAAAGTTCCAGGTGTTGGGATGGAAAGCCCCACCTGTTGCTCTGCTTGCCTCTTTTCGAAGCTGGATCTCAACTTCTGCCAGTAAAATTGACCACTCTAAGCCATCCACCCCAAACAGATCCATTTCCTTGTATCTTCTCCCTATACATATCACCCCCTAAAGCACCTCACATGCTTGAGACATGTTTAGACAGATTACCTCAAAGGGAGATCTACCCTAAACCCGTCCAGATCAGCACCACCGAACCAAGCCACCATCGAAACTTCCACATGTATCTTTCCCACATGGACGGCTGGCGGGTGCCAAAGGCCTCAAAGCAGAGTGGATCGCTCGAGAGACTGTGCGATAGAGGGGGACATTCAACCTACAGACATGGTGATATTGACCAACATTGACCAACCAAAGTGGTTATAAATGGGGATGGGTCAAAACCCTATCCCCCTGGTGAACATCAAAATAGCTGGTAAATGGATGTTCATCCCCTAAAAATGGTATGTATAGGTATTGATCCATAGCCAAATGGTTATAATATTAACCAACACCAACAACCATGGACCATGGGGACAGCAACCAAAAAGTCTGAGGATTCAACCAATAAAAATGGGTGGTTGGGCATCCTGGAGGTGCTTTTTTTTGTGATGGTTCCTAGTTCTTGGAAGCGATCTTGGGATGGCACCAAAACAAAACCCCAGCTAACCAGAGGTTAAAATGGTTAAAACATGATTTGATCTGAAAAAATTCATCTCTTCATAGTACTTGGTTATAACATGGACCTTGTTTTTCATAGTACCCTCTGGTAATTTAACATAGCTATTGAACATGGCCATTTATAGTGGATTTTCCCATTAAAAATGGTGATTTTCCATTGTTTTTTGTATGTTTACCAGAGGGTACTTGGTTGTACTCAGAAACAGCCGCCATCACCCGTGCCATGATGAAAAGGAACGTACCTCCTCGAGGTGTTCCGCTCCAATGCACTGGACCCAAATTCGACCTGCCGAAGGCAGCCAGGCAAGGGGAAACCATGGGCACATATCACGCAAATACAAATAACACGCAGAAGGGTTAGGTGTATATAATACATATATATATATAATATGTTATTTCCATGTTATGTCGATTTTTGATGGCATTTCTGAAGCATGCTTTGTAATATACTCTTCATTTTGGTTCTGTATGGATGTCTTGTGGCGGTATGTCTTGGTGTGTGGCCAAGCGGCACTTGCAAGTGGGTGTTGGAAGCCCAGCTACTTGCAAGTCTGGTTCACTGGTCATATTTCACCCGCGGACATGTTCATCATTTTACTTGAAACCCTGGTTGTTTTTACATGTTCATCATTTTACTTGAAACCATGGTTTTCACAGGTGTTTGCTTATGTTCACAATTGTTCACATGTTGTTACATGCGCATCCGAAGTCTCGGGGATTTCCGGGTGAAGTTTCGTGAATCGCCACCTCTGGGCCCTTCAAAGAAGTGGCCATAGACGAAGAACAACACCGAGGTCACGAGAATGGAGGCAGAATAATTCACCTGCGAAAAGCCATAGAAAAACCCATGGTTTGGCAAATTGAGAATTGCTGACATATCTGACATGCAGAGTTCCGGCGATTCGGACTGGGACTTTGCAATTCTTCGGGACCATGGCTGGGGCTTTTTCCGACGTCCCAATTTAGGGCTACAGTTTTTGGAACCCCAAAAACGGAACTTTCATTCCCACATCTACTTCGGAGGCTGACACGAAAATGGTTGGAGATATCAACCACCTGATGTTTGGTGCGGCAGTCGTCCATGTCCAACATCCCACCCCCCGCCTGAGGGAACGTCCTGCAGAGAAGGAAGGACATATAGGCCACGGCGCTGGGTCATCCATAAACCATCGCTGGGATCATTGAGCTATATTATTACCCTCTGGTAATTTAACATATAGCTATTGAAAATGGCCATTTATAGTGGATTCCCATTGAAAATGGTGATTTTCCATAGCTATGTTAGTTTACGAGAGGGTATATTATACAACAAATACAGTTGGCGAAAATACCTTTCCCCAGTTCCTACTTTGTAGTTTTGGGATGTTTTGGCCAAAAAATATCAAACAAACTGTAATTGCGGTACCAGTGTTTTAAAAAAAAACGACCACCCCCAATTCAATCATCCCAAAAGACTTTCCACGCATGTTGACTGTTACAAGATGTGGCCTAGCACATCTTGGCGCGCTCTCCTGAACTGCATGGACAAATAGAACTGCAAGAAACGTTGCGGCAGAATTGCCATGCTCCTCAGACTCGAAGGTGTAGTAGGGTTGATGGTGGGGTGAACCCTCGACCCCACATGGCTTGTCAATTGTGGATGGAATGGGGTAGCTGTTGTCAAACAAACCCATATTATGGATGTGCGAGCATGTCAAGGCTCTCTAGATTGTAGACTAAGACTACGGCTAGACTATGGCCCAAAATGTAATTACAAACAAACCCATGCAAATGATCAAAGATACCCGACCTCCAAAATTGATGAGCCCCCTGGCAATAAATCTCAAGGCTTTCCCCTATATGCAGGACTTCCATGGACTTCCCGAATCTCCAAGAAGAAGTCAGCAAATGGCTATGCAGATTCTCAGCCCCCCTACCAAACAAACATTTTTTACATCCTCTCGACTAAGGTTGCTATCTTAAGATCCTCCCGCACCACTGCAGCAAGGCTCATCATGACTCCACATTGCATCAGCCGCCCGTGCAGGGCCAGCGACTCTGACCTTTTTTGGGTCAATCTCTACAGATGTCCAGCTGGATTGCAATCCATGTCCAGCATGACACCGAACCAAGATTGGTAATCGGTAATGAACATTTTAGTGAACCAACCAAAAATGTGAATTCAGCTTAGCTTAATCCAAGCCGATGCAGTGATCTAACATGAGTTAAACTACTGTTGATGGTTGCGAAATCCTGCACCAGTTGATAGGTGGTTTTATCCCATTATTTATAGGGGTTCAACCATCCTTTCGGTGGTGCAGGATTTCTTCCATCAACAGTAGGATTTTGACCACACGACTCGTGACGCCAACGGGAGAAACAGAAATGGGCTCCCGCACGTTGCTCGCAGTCTAGCCACGCGCCAGCCACGATACCTGTCACTTTGTTCCCGGTTGCATCACCATGGGCCGGTGGTTGCTGTGAAGCCATCGTTGCTGATTAAATCAATTGAATTCATTTGAATTATCATGTGCTTTTTGGTTGTTTTAATCATTCAACCCTCATTTTTTTTATTAATGTGGTTAAAAATCCCCGTTTTGGGGTTCTATGTCCGTTTTTCTAAGGACCACGGCACCACTGATGTCGTGCATCCTCCCACAATGCGGCGCACAAGAAAAAGGCGGTGCAGCCAGCAGTGTCCAGCAGAACTGCTGCCACCTCCCACCGCTATCAACGATGGCGAACACCCATCCCGCAAAAGCTTCTTAACCACCAACAACCACTACCCTCTGGTAATTTAACATAGCTATTGAAAATGACCATAGAAATAGGGGATTTTCCCATTAAAAATGGTGATTTTCCATTGCTATGTTAGTTTACCAGAGGGTAAGACCAATAAGGGTTTCTTAACGGTTCAACCCTTGGGATCCAGCGGGAATCCCGCTGGATGTCCATGGTCGGATCATCGCCACGCCAAGGAACTGCTGGAGCCCAGTATTCAATTCTCCTCGGCTCGGATTGCCTGGACCCTGGAACCACCTGGAACCGATGGAACCATGGCTGACATCTGCTGACCCATGGCCTGCACCGCTGGCCACTGGTACCAAGCGGCTGCAGGGCGGACAAGTAGAGGCTGCTTGGGAAGACGATCAAGAAGAAAAGCAGCAGCATGACCTGCCAGCTGCGAAGCTGGTTCAACTAAAGACGTCAGATTGCCACCAACATCTCCAATTTTCTTGGGTGCTGAAAAGATTCAAAAACATTTAATTAAGCCCATTCTCGGCTGCAGTTTCGGCAGCTGTTTGGTGTTTCACTGTTTTTTGTTTGCTTCAATTTCAAACATCTTCAGCCAATTCCTAGCTTCAAACATAGGCTAACCCCCTTCCATCCAATGCTTCATCCTGAATTGCCCATAGTTTTCCATAGTTTTTCCATATGTTTCCATAGTTTTTCCTATTCAAATTGCCATAGATAGGTTAACCAACCCCCAAAAAACCCAGCATCAAACCAGCCAAGGCGCGACCCCTGTGAGCCGATGCAGTGCCGGCGACTGGCGTTTGCGGGTCTCGATCCGGATCTGGACCTTGGGAGGTTTTTACTTCCAGGAACTGTTGGGTTTCTGGACGATAGAAGTGATATAACATCACTATACCTAATATATATATAATATTATATAATCATATAATTAATTCATGGGGATGAATGGGGGTTTATAAAATCTTATAGACCAACTTAAAACTGGGGGGCTCCACCTGGTGGGATGAAAAATATCATGGGAATATCATGGGAGATCTCCAGGATCCGATTCAATGGAGGTACGTTAGTACCATATTTCTGGCCATATGAATTGTGGGGATATTCCCTTACATAGGCCTGAAAAATAGGCCTTATATATGGGATTGGTACCTCCAATCAATCGGTTCCTGAGTCATGGCCATTGAAATATCATGGGAATTTGAATGAATTTGACCATTGAAAAAAGTTATTATTTACCATCTATCAGAAGACATGGGCCATGGGAGTTATCCCATCTGGAATTAACCACTAAATGGGAGTTATCCAATCTTTGGGCTTTATCTCCAACATGACGACCCGCGCATGGCTGGAAGACTACCTTTCTCCAATTTGTGTTCTCAGGATCAAACCGTTAGTTTGAGCCCTCCTGATTTAATGGACCATTAATTATGTAATAATCATCATTCCAATAATAACCCTCTGGTAATTTAACCTGCTGTGGGAAATTGCCAATTTTGACGGGTAAATCATCTAAATGGCAATTGAATGCGAACCCGGCATGACAAACCAACACACCCCCGCTAAAATGATTCAGGGAAACAGGTGTGCCCGCAAATATTAAATGATTGGCAAAATCATTAAATGCAGTATCACGAAATATCATATCACTCTACACATCTATATGCAATATGTTGGGGAGAACCCACATTAAGGCCCCACAACCAATGATTTCCCCACCATATTTGTAGTCCGAGTGACAGCGGCCAAGATCCACATTGCAATGCTCGCGAAAACGTGTACCTGTCATTCCATCAGGGGTAGTAGTTCTCCGTCACATGCAGGGGGCTGATTCTCCAGAAACATGACTGCCATCTCCAATGAATAAATAATATAATGTGAGTAAAGCAATAGGATCCACCATCCCCAGTTTTACAATCTTGATTGGTGGTATATATAAAAGATCAAAATATGGATGGCTTATAAAATGCTTTGCTAACCTTACACTAAGTCACTGCGCTCGAATAGACACCGCTTTCCTGAACCGAGAACGATGACTGTCATCAGCGGGAAAGAAGCATGGAGGAGAATCATATGCCGTTTGGTAATTTAACAAATGGCCCATCTTTTAGCTTTCAAAAATTGTCATGTTCCATACCTATTTCAGCTATCACATGCTATTACCAGAGAGTAATTCTGCCTTCCTTCCTCTGCCAGCCTCTTCAGAATGATTTATTTTTTGCCTAACAGCTGCCCAAAAAAAAGTTGTACCTCCACCACTTGCTCATAGCTGATGCCCACATCAAAGGCGTTGCCCTCAGAATGGTATAAACATGTATAAACCACCCTGGGATCCAAAGAATGTCCCAAAGATCAGTGGTTTTATATGTTTTTATCATTTGTTATCCCCTACATCTACCATGGTTGCTGTTTAATGTGAACGGGGGAAGGGATTACCCCCAAAACTTGTGAAATCCACAAAGTCCAGGCTAAATGAAGCCTTGAATAGACCTGAAATTATCATGTGAAACTTCCAGCGACGTACTCCCAGCGGTGCAGGATGGAGAAGATGCGGCTACCTCTCAATGGCTGCTGGGTATGAATCAATATATATATATATATTTGCGGGTTGTACACTCTATCTTTTCCGAGTTTTGTATAGTTTTGTCGGTTTGTTTTGGTGAGTCATCCCCATCGTGAGATTTTTCTGTCTTTCCAACGTTGAGCCGTGCCCACTTGGCTCCCAAATGCAAACGGGTGGCTGTCAATGCGACCTAGATCATTGGAAAGTCATGGGGAAGCTCGTGATCTACACACAGAAATTGATATCCGCCCAAACGTTGATGAAATTTGTTGTAGATGGGGTTCAACGGCTGAATCTTTCAAAATCCCAAGTTTGGATAATTATTTCGTATCCCCGTGATTTTTGTTGGTATGGCCCAACTATGCCCAACTCACATGTTTTCCAACTTTGACACGTGCTACTCTTTTTTGACGAGGGGCAAAGAAGCTCTTGTGCATGCAGAGGTAGCTCACGACCTGGCTTCGCGGCTTCAGAATGCTTCAAGTGCCCAGGGTCACCCTGCAAGTGTCCTTACAAAACCGATTAAAAGACCATGCCCCTTGTGTCTTTCCGAAAGGCTGGGAACTCATCAAGGTTTCCAATCGTCAAGTGGAATTTTCATGATTGTGGCTTCCTGATTCAAAGAAACACCCCCAAGAGCTGTTGAGCCAACTCAACCAACCACGGCACATTACTGCCTCCGCCACAACGAAAACAGTGGCAGGTGCCCAGAAGAGGGTCAGGAGAAGTTCCAGCTCTTTTCGATTCCTCTGGAAATCCAGATGATTTGTACAGAAGTGTAGCATTTGCCAGGCTGCAACAAAAATTGAATTTGATTCAAGCATTAATAAAGTATCAATAATTGGATTTAACATGATTTAACATGACTTAACCAGTGAACAAATGAATATTGAGGGATCAAACGGGTTTTATCAACCATCAATCCGGGATGCCCCAACAATATAACCATATATAGATCGGTAAATAGTTGGAAATTGATGGGATATCTAGTCTTTATTGGCTTGGTGTGTCCAGACATGGGATGTAGCCCAATGATGGAATCTGGCCATTCCAGCTGAAAAATGATGAGATTCACCCGTTGGAGTTGGCGCTAGACGGTTTCAGACAAACAAAATGACAAAGCCAAATCATAAAATGATTGCCTCGCATGCACATAATATGTACATATATATATATGTGTGTGTGTACATATGTATTATATATATATGATTATATATGCGTGTATGTGTGTGTGTGGCCCAATGTGGCCCATATATTGACACAAACATGACGACTGCTCTTTGAAGCCTTCTGAAGCGCTAAAATCAATGCGATTTCCCATGCCAATCTGCATGATTTCAGTTGTGAAGTATCCCGCCTCACCATCAAGCCAATCTTGGTGGCTAGGAAGTAGCAACTGGAGGTAGGAATCGTACACCCCTATATCGATATGCAATGCTGTGCAAAATCAAATGTTGATCAATTTGGTCAAATCATGTCAAATCAAATGCGTTGGGCATGCAATAAACCACAGAAATTCATGAACCATCACCCCAAATTTCAACAGAAAGTCTAAGTTCATGAAACATCAATCCAAATCAATGAGCCTCCAAGTATCTTATGGCAATAATCAAGTTTCATGAGCCATTAACCATCATTAACCCAATTCCTGGCAATTGCCATAAGAATCGTAAGATACTTGGAGGCTCAGCCCCGCCGATCCCCGGAGGTCCGAATGGATCGGGACCTGAGACATTGCCGGTCCGTGGCTCCGTGGGTCGTGGGGATCTAACCAGCAGGGATCTGAAAAAGGCGATGGAAATTCACCGAAACGTCTCCGATGTTGTCTTGATATGGCAGTGTGTCAAAACCTTGGTACCTAGTGAACCCCAAAATAGCTGGTAAATGGATGTTCATCCCACTAAAAATGGTATTAATAGGTATTGATTCATAGCCATATGTCTAATCCCATGGAATCCCATGGCCCATCTTGATATATCTTGATGACTTGGATTGATGACTTGGATGAATTGTGGCCATTTTGTGATCATTCAGCCTGACACAATCGCTGGGCAAGGCACCCATCGCTGGGTCGACCATGGAAGGTGCCTCCATCGGGCTCCAGCTCCACATCCAAGCGCTCCAGCTCCGCCATGGCCACGCCATGGACGGTCCCACGTGGGTCCCACGTGGCAAGGGTGGGGGAAAAGGGGGCTGGAAACCTGGAACGCTTGGTGCATGGGAAAGGAGAACATGAAAAATACGTACCCTCTGGTATCTGAACTAACTATGAGTAGCTACGGAATGTCGTTTCTTTCAGCATGTTGAAGAGGTACAGTAAATCATCGAGGTAAATGGGCCATGTTCATTCATTTTCCATAGCTATGTTATCGGTGAATGAGTTGGTTGGGGTTTTTTAAAACTTAAAACCCCCAGCCAACTGGGACATATGTGACATACCACCTTCGGCATCGCCTCTGATGGGACTACCTAATTGGTGGCTCAACTGTGCTCCACTGCCTCTAAATTTCACAGCACCAATTGAAGGTGGAAGAGTGCCCCAACTGAAAAAGACTCAAACCATAGGAACAGAGGAAAGATGTCATATCAGTTTCAACTATGGTTACTGTACTGTTCCATAAGGCTTGCGCAAGTGTCAACCGTCTTCTGACTGGGAAAGATCAAGATTGCGTGGTGGATCGTGGTGGTAATGGTAATGCTGATGCCAAGAATGACTTCCATTTGTCTCATATACCCTCCGGTAATTTAACATAGCTATTGAAAATGGCCATTTATAGTGGATTTTCCCATGAAAAATTGTGATTTTCCATAGTTATGTTAGTTTACCAGAGGGTATGTCATAGAGCTTCCCCACTTGGTGTCACAACATGTCACATCAATGTCCAATGGTCCAATGGTCCACCGGTCGCCACCTGGGATCGTAGACACTTGATTGTTCCTGGTAACATGACATCAAACCATATCAAACCACTATGGATGACACCAATCAGCCAACGTTTGGGCATATATAGATATATTTATAATTGTAGTAGCATCCCATATATTTCCTATGTAAAATGAGACGTGCCATGCCCGAACCAGCCGGAGTTTCTCGTAAGCCTGTTTGAAACGACCAACATCCAGCAACTCAACCTTTTTCGATTCTAGGGCGCACGTGGCCCGAATTCCGCCCCAAGATCTCATACACAATGAGGTCCAAGGGCTCGCTGGGCCGAGGCAGCTGTGTGCGACATCAATGGTAAGGGCCCTATAAAATTCTATAAACAAGTTGGGGGTTTCCTAAAATGGGGATACCGGGATACCCCACAACCATGGGTTTCAATACTTGAAACAGTAGAATTTTGGATGATTTGGGATGACTTGGGGGTACCCCCATGACTTCGGAACCTAGAGTTGGGGAGATGAACATCCAAAAAGTTTGGGAAAATGAAACGTTCCAGGCCCTACCATGACTCGACATGTGGTGACGTTCTCGCAACATCTTCAGGAATGCGAGACCACATAGCATAAACATGCCATAAATCAATATAAATCATCCAAAGCGATGCGGCAACAACGAATTTCAACCTATCAAAATAACCTGGTACAGTAGAATGATGCAGCACCCAGCTATCCAGGTGATCCTAAAAAAACAACCACTACTGCGCTGCACACAGCTGCGAGCTCACGTTTGTGAGAGCAGCTGTGGCTGTGCTGGGAACACCTGCGCCGTGGGAACCGACCCGTCGAATCCCCTCAAGATGATTCGCCCTCCAAAAATGCAATTGATCCAAATAAGACCTCTCCAAAATTCCAAACCTCACAAAATGCTTCGAAAACCAACATCCGCATCTCAAGGTCCTGAAATTTCTGCCCTGAAAATCTCCGGCACCATCCGACCAGAAGTGCCTGGTGCCGTATGGCCGTCATCTCAATGACAACGACCTGGCTGGGAGCTGCTTGCTGCGAAAGTCTCTCAGCAAACCAACCACCACAACTTTCATTGCAGGGCCTCCATTTTGCAGCAAGTCGTATGTAGGCCGACCATGGCCGACCCCCCACCACTTTAACTTGCTGAATAATGCTCACCCTTCTTTTCCTTTCTTTGTTTTCTTCTTGGAAGTTGATGGATGAGCATCTCTATGCTTATATTGTTCAGCAATGTGTGAAACCATTTCGGCAATTTCAATACTTATACTTATCAACACAGTTTGGAAAAATATGAAAAACATGATGATATCCCTGATATGCCTTCTTTATTTTATTCAACACAATGGATCATTGGAATGCCATATCATTTTTCATAATTGTATTGCCATTTCAATCATCTGTCAAAATATATGGGGGGGTTCCTACAAATACCCCAAATCATCCATGTTTTGTAGGTTTTTTCATTCCAAACCATTCCAGCTCTTGGGGGTAGCTCCATGACTATGGACCCCCCCGCTGGTCCTTGCGGTCCCACCTCTCGGACTTGACGGTTCTGGAGCGTAACATCCTGGGAGCGAGGAATCAGAGCTTGGGATAGCCGTGATCCACCGATTTTTTTCAGGTAACCCATGGCTAGCCCGTTTTCAGAGAAACCATTTGAAGGTTTAAGTGGCATGACTTTTCTCACCTGATCAATGAGTTACTTCAACATCACTCAACCATTGGGGATGTAATCTCCAGCAGATACTTGTGGGTGATGTTCCAAATCCCCAAAGAGAAACATGTACTAGCCTCTGATAAATCTGAGATGAAAATCCAAAGATATCCAAAGGCTATTTTGTCCTGCGACAACATTGAAAATTGTAAAGACACAAGCTACGGGTCTAAATGGCATCCAAGCGGCGCCAAGCTCTTCTCTGCTTGTGCCAACCTGGAAAGTTTGGATGGGCTGAAAACTATGGCGTTTTTCCTAGAAAAAATGGAGGGATTCCATGGGATTCTGCCAGGTCCGCCAGGTCCAGCAGTGCTGCAGCTTCTTTGGGCACCACACCGTTCCTCCGGCTGTACACGCCTCTTTTTCCGCCTGAGGCAGTGCCGGCATGGCAATGGCTGGCATGGCACTCTGCAGTGACCCTCAGGTAATCAAAGGTGGCAATGGAAAATCCATGAAAATCCATGAAAATCCCCTATAAATGAAGGTTTTAATGGGACAATCATCTACGTATCAACTGATAAACATGGTGGATTTCCATCGCCACGTTTGCCCGCCGTACCCCAAACTCTTCTGCATGGAGATGTGCTCCATCAAGAATCGACGTTGCACAATCCACGTTTTTTTTTGTTGTAGGTACCCTCTGGTGAACTAACATAGCAATTGAAAATGGCCATTATAGTGGATTTACCCATTAAAAATTGTGATTTTCCATTGCTATGTTAGTTCACCAGAGGGTATACCCCTTGAAAATCCACAACTTCAAGGGCGGCCATAGCAATTCCACGGAGCACCTCGCATTGATCTGGATCAAGATGAAGCAAAGCACCAGGACGATGGCCACAGCAGGATACCTGGTGACATCGACAGGGATCATGTGCCATGTTGGATGACCAGAAATGAACCATCATATGCCTCACAAAGCAAAAATCCCATGAAATTCCCATGAAAATCCCATTTTCCATTGGTGAAAATTTGGAAAAAACATAAAAAAATCACATGTTTGATGCTTAACTTCAAGTTCCTTCCACTTTTCCATGGCAAAAAAAATGGCAATCCCCCACCATCCCCCACCACGGCAGGGCACGGTGAAACGACGATGCCCTGCGCCGCGCTGCAGATCAGCTCCATGGAGGGATCCGCGAAGGCGTTGCGCTGCGAGGCCGCCACCACGAAGAAGTGATCTGCCACGACGACGCGAGCTTCCACCGGACCATGGGGTGATGGGATGAAAAAGCATGGGAAAAATCCCAAGAAACTCAAATCCAAGTATATATAAAAAATCCAAGTATATATTATATATATATAGTATATATAATATATATATATATATATTATATATATATTATATGATGGATTGATTGGAGGATTGGAGGATTGTTTTTTCGGGGGAAGAAGTTCTAGCAGCTAGGGATTCGACATGACTTGACCTTTCCAAAGTTGGACTGGTTGGGACCACCGGCCCCACATGCCGGGGAAGCGGTTGCCGCGTACGGCTCGAATCGCCACATGGACAGTTCCAGCCTGGCAGATCGTTCAAGGGAGTGGGTATTGATCATAGAGGCAACCACCAAGCACATGGGATCAACAAAAACCTACAATGATGCAACCTTTTTCCACAGCTGTAATACTGCCTGCAGAAAATCCTGAGGTCATGTGCGACATGGCAGAACTCAGCACTCAGTACAAGGGCAACTGCCACCTACAAGAGAGTTGAGGTTGACCTTGACAGCAGGGTCGGCTACAAGTATGACTGGCTCTATGTTGAACCGCTTTAAACCATTTGCCACTCCTACTGCGGAGGTACGAATCCCAAATCACTTCAGGTGAGGCAACAGGCTCTGAGTACACCTTTCTTTATCCGCAATCCACTGTCAAATCTTTGCTATATCATACCCTGCCTTCCGGGGCCCTCCACACACCCCGGGTACCCCCCAGGATGCCCTCGGGAAGCGACCCCACCTGAAAGCTGGAGGTGCCACTCTGACGCGCCTCCTCGAAGTATTGTTTCCCCACCTCCGCAGCCTCGGGAAGATGGATTCAATGTCAGACTTGGGAATCATCGGCTTGTATCATGTGCAAATATACTGTGTACATAGATTTATCAGTCTATACCTCTGAGTACCAAAAAAATATGTGTGATACATCTTGAAAAACAGATCAAAATAAGGGCGCGTCCACAGCCCAGTCCCAAGATCCCAGGCCCAGCCAGACAGCTCCCACATGCTACGAAAGTGCGCCACACCGGTGGGGCTCTCGATGAGTGCCTGGGAGAAAATCTCAGAGGACCAGGGCTATCAATAGATGGGGCTGCAGTTGGGGTTATTAATATGTATAACTATGATACATCAGGAGGAAGAAAGTTTTTTCCCGTTTAGTACCTTATTAATATCATCATCCTCAGCCGCGGATCAATTATCCTCATTTCGCGTGGCCTGCGTGGCGGATCGTATTTCAAGTCGGAATAAATTAAAATTCTTTTAAAGCAAACCAGCTGATCCGCGATCCGCCATGTCATCCATATGCAACCTGTCAGGAGTCTAAGGGGAGAGGGTTGGAGTAGCTAGTCAAGAGGAAAAACTTTTGTCCTGGTTTTGCGTTATTTTACACCTTCAGCATTGCCTAGAAGAGAAGACCCAAAATTTCACGCGCGTGCGTCAATCTTAAACGCCACCACTGGAAGTACTGTGTGAAGCGAAAATGTTCATCAAAAAAACAAAATCGTTTAGTGGAAAATGCTCATCAGGAGGAAGAAAGTTTTTTCCCGTTTAGTACCTTATTAATATCATCATCCTCAGCCGCGGATCAATTATCCTCATTTCGCGTGGCCTGCGTGGCGGATCGTATTTCAAGTCGGAATAAATTAAAATTCTTTTAAAGCAAGCCAGCTGATCCGCGATCCGCCATGTCATCCATATGCAACCTGTCAGGAGTCTAAGGGGAGAGGGTTGGAGTAGCTAGTCAAGAGGAAAAACTTTTGTCCTGGTTTTGTAATAACCACCATCAGAAACATATTGCAGCACATTCCCGCATATTACCGGAAGCGGAAAAACGCTTCCCCTGAGGAGAGAGAGAAAGAGAGAGAGAGAGAGTTACCGATATAATATAACATAACATAATATTATATTATATTATAATCTTATATTGTATAATATACATATGTATATTATATATAGATGTGTGTGTTTATTACATTATTCTTATTACATTATTCTTATTACTAATATCAATATTATTAATTTATGTTTATATGTATTTGAATATGGTGTATTTACACACGTATACATTGGTCCCATGTTCCAGACGTACACAAAGCATTTCGACGTTTCGACCGGCCAAGCCTTCTGTCCGGGCATCAGGGTGGAGATCAAAGTCCCGGAAGCATCGCATACGTAGATCTTGGCAGTGGGAATGGGTGGGCTGAGGGATAGCTAGATTATTGTCCTTAAACGCCATGGGAAATATTGGAAAATCATGACATATCATGACACATGTGAAAAAATCCTGGGAGCAGTTGGGTTACCAGTACCACGAAAAACCAGTTATAGATGTTGTAGGTATCACCTTTTTCACAAGATCCCCATGAAACGGTGAAACGCTGGACGACACGCTGATCCCTGGGTCCCTTGGGCATCGGACTGCGCCCAGGTCGCCTGGATCATCGAACAGCGGGGGGAGGTTTTCCAGCAAACTATGCTTGATTGGCAGAGGGTAAGTGTTGACATGTGGCAGTGTGTCAAAACCTTGTACCCCTGGTGAACATCAAAATAGCTGGTAAATGGATGTTCATCCCCCTAAAAATGGTATTAATAGGTATTGACCCATGCCCATGTATTTACTATATCATCCCACTGTCAAAGGTCTTACTATTCTAAACTAAGAGTGTTTATGACATTTTATGACTGAAAGACCAGTCATAAACTATGGGACGCCGAAACACTCATAAGCGGTTCGCCACCTGAATGAACTGAGGGATATCGCGTATGGCTCATACCTCCATCTTGGGGGATGTGAAATAACTCTGTACGTTAACGTGGCAAGCCCAAGGCCCAAGAAAAAACCATTCCCAATACTACCAATTATTACCATAAATAAATAAATGGAGCATTTTTTAACCATCCAAAATTGGAGGTTTATTGTTGGGTTTACCACATTGTTGGCATGGCAAGCCTATCCAAAACTACCTGATTTACTACCTGATTTACCTCACTGCTTCGATGCTTCCGGATAGGTACTGATGGGTTATCCGACTTTGGGAATTGGAATGTTCTGATTCCGTTGTTCCGATTGCCAGTTTCTTGTTCCGGATGGGATCCCTTAATCGCCAAGAGACCCTGTTTGAGTGGTGACTCTGTTTATCTGTAGGTGCTGTGGGTTTCAAATGTAAGTTGTAAAGTGTGGATATATCATATATCCTTCATTATGTGGGTTCATTAAAGGGGGATTGCAAGGATGGGATGAGTGGAGGTTCCCAAAGATTCTGGCAACCATCCCCAATCTAGAATCTATATTTATATAGTAATATTAAACTGAATATTGCTAATCACCCAACATTCCCCCGCAGATAGTCATCAACTATACGATTCATCCACCGTTCGTTCGAATATACCCTCTGGTAAACTAACATAACTATGGAAAATCACCACTTTTAATGGGAAAATCCACGAATTAAATCACCATTTTCAATAGCAAACTGTTAGACATAACCAGTTGGGGTAATGACATTTGACCGTGGTAAATCAAATGTCGACTACACCATCCCAGCAACCAGTTTCTGGCATCACATGTCCCGTGAAATATCAACTGTTCCATCATCGATAGTCAACTAAATAAGAATTACCACCCCAGTCACTATCACTAAATATAATATATATATATATATATATCATATGGTTCTAAGGTCAAAACATGGTGTATGGGTCATGGTCATTTCACTATTGTTAGCTACCCTTATGTTGTTGGCCATTGAAATTCCCACTAATTAATGGAGGTATGACTCATCCCCGATTTATCCAAGGGCCCTAAAAGTTTACCATGTTGGGATTGTGTTTGGTGCATTTTCGGTACATAAAAGAGTAGGAGCCTCCCTACTAAAGTGGTCCAATCGAATTTTGACCGTGCCTCATAGTAAATTCATCCTACAATGCCCCAGTTCGTTAGCTAAGTTGGTTTATAATTCCAATGATTAGGGTTTGTGGTGGAGGAAATGGGGGTTAGACAGCAACTTATGACTATATGTATCACTATAAATTATTCATCTATCTAGGGTTGATATGGCTTATAAATTGTTATAAACCAACAGACACACCTGGAAGCCACCACCTTGTTATGTTAGTCACGACCCCGTTCCCTCCCCCGCCCCACGCCGCGAGGCGCGCGATGCTGCGCGCAGCTACGCGCCTAGCGTCTCTTTGTCGTCCAGCCGGTCCTCTGAAGCCACTTCGGTGACCTGGTGGCTATGAATATAACGGCTAATGGATTATGTGTATATATATATATATACTGGTTGGTGGTTTCAAACATGAACTTTATTTTCCATAATATATGGGATAATCATGGAAAATCCCTTATAAATAGCCATGGAAAAGCCAAGGTTATTTAACATAGCCATGGAAAATCCCTTATAAATGGAGGTTTCTAGCTGGGACAATCATCTATAAATTGGCCATTTTCCATGGCTATGTTAAATAACCAGAGGGTATATATACTGGTTGGTGGTTTTAACCATCTTGAAAACTATGAAAGTCAATGGGAAGGATGACATCCCATATATTATGGAAAATAAGAAATGTTTGAAACCACCAACCCGTATATATATATATATATGATTATGTATCAAAGAACACCCTAAAATATGGACAGGTTCAACTCATCACTATGTTAGGTTCGGATTTCATTTTCCTGTCTTGGGGGTTGCCATACAAATGGATAAATGGTATGAATTTGTAAATTTCAAACAAAATCGATAGATTGATCAATCGATCGATCTATCTGTCTGTCCATCCTTCTATCTAGTTGGTGATGAATTATGATTATGATGAATTATGATGAATTATGATGAACTATGATGAACTATGATGAATTATGATGAATTATGATGCTGATGAATTATGTACCCATCAAAATGAGATATGACATGATTGAACTGGTGAGCTATACCCGCCATCAATCCTGACCTCCACAACAGCTCGCGCAATCACCGAAAGGTTGCCACGGCTGCCGGGGAAAACGGACCTGGCTGCGAGATGCGCTATGATCTCAGGGACCCATAGGGGATGTGGGTGTGTGGGCGTGTGCTGGAAACCACACGACAATTTGTCAAAAATGGGTCCAAAAATGTCAAAAACTCTCGAAAATGGCCCAAAAAATCCAACCACGTTCAAGTACTCTAGGAAGTTATCCCAAAATATCCAAAACAATGGATGGTTGATGGGTTGATATCAATTGACGCATGGCTGACATCGCCAAACTCCACAAATCATCACATATAGAATATTTTTCTTGACAAACAAGGTCACCGCTTCTGAATCAAATCAAACATACCTGGAAGCAAATACTTGCCAATCAATCTTATATTCCTCGCATCTTTTGAAAATTGGTGAGGCGGCAAATATTTCCACAAAACCACAAACAATCCAGAAGAATTCACTCGTTCATGGTAGAATATTACTATATATGGGGGGAAAAAAACCACCCAATAAATGAGATAGAAGAGTACCCTCTGGTAAACTAACATAACTATGGAAAATCACCATTTTTAATGGGAAAATCCCCTATTTCTATGGTCATTTTCAATAGCTATTTTGACATAACCAGAGGGTAATCTGCATCAGTTTGCCATTCTTTTAGCAACTTTGCTGGCAACTTATTGCTGTTAGTGCCTGTCCGGATCTTGGCGCACCGAAAAATCAGGGAATGGGCTGGCGACCACGCCACCGCGCGAGCCGATTGCACCAGGGCTCCTTCCACGTGAGGGACCTGGGTGATGGCAGGTGGCCAAGGGCAATTTCAGTAGATATCAACCATTATCAACCAGCAAAGATATCAAAAGATGTGGTTTGAGCATGCTTTTCATATCTTTTCATATGCAAATAAACCTCAAATCATGGGCCTCTTGGAGTTTGAGCTGCGCACTTCAGGATTCGAGCCACTACAAATGAGGTTTGAGGAACAAAACCAGCCATCCAACAATAGATAGGTGCCCAGATGGGGTTATTCTGAGCCGGAAAAGCTACAACCTGATACAACAATGATAAGCAGCAATTTAAACAACTGGGAGACGATCAAATAGCCAGCTCTTGGATGATCCAATTGGTGGGTGGTGGTAACCATCATGGCACCGCTGAGTCTGAAGACGAAGCCAGGCCCCTCGTTCCACTGGAAACTCATGGGTGGACCAGTGCTATTGTCCTCAGCCCGGGCGCGAAGACAGGTCCATGGGCCAATGGGGTCCCAAAATCCACCGAAAATGTCACGGCCTTACCTGGAGATCAGACAGGTGGCACCACTTTTCAGCTGAGCTTCTGCTTCTTGCCCTCCCGGTAGCTTCAGTCCAATCCTCGGTGTAGATAGTTGAGCTAGTAACCCTGGAGAGGATGTCCCTCAATTAAATAAACTTAAATACATTTAAAAACCTCTATATAATTAATTCGAAAGATCAAAGCCAGTTCCTCTGTGCGATGGTCCTCCCCCTTCCCACCTGGTGGCCTCCCCTTTAGCACACCGCAAATCCTGGGAGGCCCTCGCTGAAACCAGCTCATTTCTCGGAAGGGCGCACCATCCAAACATCCGAAACGACCAAGCTGCACACGAGGTGGCGTGGTCGTAAGAGAGGCAAGGTTTAAAGGCAACCAGATGCTCAAATTGAGTAGTTTGATGGAAACAAAATTGTGGGAACCCCGTGAAACAGCAAGGAACCCATCTACAACTTGAAAATCAGGAGTGCTCACCCAATCCCACACTCTAAGAATGCCTAAGACAATCAACAATTGTTGCACAGTCGCTCCAGGATTATACTGGATACTTCTGAATCTAGTAAAAAACATATACCATCAGTATTCCACAAACCATCTTCGAGCATCTCCGAGCTGAAAAGCGGCAGGGCCTTCTCAAAGCAGTCCTCAGAATCAGACTGCACCAGCAGCCTGTCGATGCCTGGCATCGCAACTTGCCAGGCAAATGGAAATGGAACATATTGAGAGCCTTAATTTTAGACTGTTGCTGTTTACATATGTATATATATATATATATACGTGTGTATATATATATATGTGAATCGGAGGTTGCCTCCCCGATTATGTTCTGATGTTTAGTTGCGTTCAGTGACGACGGCACAGGAGTTGCGGCTTCAGCATGGCTATATTTTCCTTCTGGTGCTTGCAGTGATCTTGAGCCGAAGGTGCAATTCGATGCACCCCTTGGCGGTGGACAATAAGGAGTTGAAATACATAGGAGTGCGTGATAGTCCGTAGCCTACACTCCATTCGCACCCCCCACGCATGGCCAACTTCGTCGGCCACGCGCAAAGGAGTGTCCTTTAAATTGTTCCACTAGATCTGCAGCTGTTCATTTATTTAATTATGGAGAGTTAAAGTCCGTTCAGAACTTCACATCTACATGGCGGCTTGCTACAATCTCTACCAAAAGATAAAGGTTCTGTTCACGTGCATGTAGACACGACGTAGTCGGTGTCTAGCGTTGAGGTTCATCCAATGTGGCGTAGCCATCATGGAATCCCACTCAAGCATGTGAATTAAAAAAAATCAAAACACAAAGTTGACTATGGAACTAGAAGTTTACCTTCCCGTCCCTTCGTCGGTTGAGACGTAGACCGCTGTAGAAACTCAGCGTTTCATGCAATGATGTTCAAAAAAAAAATGTGTGGTTCTAAATTAGCCGGCTCAAGAGTCCTCTCAGAAATCATTCAAAATGAAGTAGAGGTAAATCTCGAGCAATGATTGCATCCTCGCATCGCCAGGTTCAATCGGGACCTATGCAGAGGTCAGATCGCTTAATCATCTATTTCCCCATCCATAGTATCCCTGATGGTTCCAGTCTCCGCCACGGTGTGAATAAGATCTTCCACCTTTCCCTTGGTCCTTTCCACCCTTCTTTGGCGGGGTCACTGGAGCTTGTTTTGGCTGAGGAGCGGTTTCAACTGTTCTCCATGTCGCTGACGATGATGCTTTCGCTTTCGACACTCTTCCCAGTGCTGGTGCAGCTTTCGGGGCTGCTTTCGATTTGCCAGCGGCTGGATTGGTACGTTCACGATCAGCAGGAGTCGGGGTATCAGCAATCGCAAGTATGTGAGCTTCAGACAAGTGGATGCCCCACCTTGGTCGTTGATCTTCCCGTTGCTTGATGTGATTGTAGTCATCGATCGCATCATATAGCTTTTGGAGTAGAGGTCGCGGCAACTGTCGGCCATTCTGAAGGATCAGGTGTAAAAGTGATATTCTTCGAAGTGGTGGACGAAGAGCACACACAATGTCAACTGGATTCAGTGTGATTGTGTCTTGAAAGTCAACGTTCCTGAAGAAATAAACAGCATTTACCCTATATGCACCTGCAATGATTCTTCTGACCATGACGTCTTGTCGGTCAAGGGCGTCGCGGGCTGCTGTGGTCTTTCTCATCTCATCCATTGTGGTGTCACGTTTCGACAGCTTCTCCATCTCCTCATCAAAGAATATGTTTTGCAAGTCATCATACGTGTAGCCACATTCAAGGGTATATATGAGAAGTCTTTTGAGTACCACTGCCCCATAGTATGCATTGACGAATCCCTCTTCTCCGATGTCGTCCTTTTGATTTGGTCGGCCGATCTCTTTGTAGAGCTCTTTCATCTGTTGCGCAGTTGGTTCAATGAGTTCACCATTTTCATCCTCTCCCAGGTAAGGTGTCCTTGAGTCCAGGTCCATCCTGAATTTCTGGTTCTGTTGAAAATGTTTCCATGCCGTCTCGATGTCTCCACAGAAGTTCCGTTGGAATAGTCTGTAGATCCTGACGATATGTAATCCAATCTGCAACAGGAGGATCTTGATGAATTCTGGCTGAGCATCTCCAATTGTGCAAGGTTCGATTGGCAGGACCTTTGATCCAAACTCAATCCGTTGCATCCACTTGGGGTACTCAATCACTGCATCACGAGCTTCTCCAGCCTCGTACTCTTCAATGTTGATTTCATCGACCGCTTTCTCTTCATCATCATTCTCACCGGTCGGTTTTCCCTCTTGATTGAGAAATTTGTCGACCTCATCTTCTTCTCTGAAGTCTCTTTTCTCATCATTGATGTCGCCCTTCTTCGAGGCTTGATCATCATCTCCTTCTTCTGGTTGAGTCTCTTGTTCTGGACTCTTCATGGTGACATCATCATCATCTGGCATCACCTCGTCGTCATCATCATCACCTGTCAAATCGATCTTCACCTCCTCCCATGCTTTCTTGACATGGTCTTTGAGATCTTCTTCTCGATGATGTGATTCGGCCTTTGGTACTGTAGCCACGGTGATCTTGATTCGTTTCCTCCATCCATGACTCACCAAAAATCCTTTGCACATCACACAAATCGATAATGGCGCAGGGGTCTCCATCAGACATGCGGGGCATAGTCGATGGTCCTCTTTGCTAGGGTGATGAGTGACTGCCAATAATGAAATTGCATCATTCCAATCCGGATGTCCAGGGAACAATCTGTGAGTATGACTGAAGTGACCGGTCCTGATATCGACAAGTTTTCGAAGTTCGTCTAGATCGGGTGATGACTCTTCAGGCACAATGTTTCCAATGAGCTTGTCAAATCGTTCAATGGTGGCCACCCTCTTTGCACCTTGCACAGAAAGAACAAGTTGATCTCTTCCCTTCGTGATCATGAGACGGTAATAGTCCTTTTCTTTCCAGTCGTAATACCATACTGCATCGAATGATTCGAATGGAATTGTTTCTTGGACCAAAATGTGTCCGTCTGCTGACAATCGAGGGGAGAACTTGGCGATGGAATCGTACGTGATGTAGATGTAGACAAGATCAGTTTGATCAATCTTCCTGAATCTCAGCACCATTTGACTTCTCACATCCCACGGCGCGAATGGCACGAAGAACGTATTGATGCGGTCGCCTCCTCCTCCTGGACGTAGTCCTTCTCTGAAGATTTGAGCGATGTTGTCAAATGTGGTGCAATGAAATCCTCCTCCAAGAGTGTATCCTACTCCAGGGTTCATCTGATATGAAGTCTTTTTGTCTTCAATGTGCACACCGCCTTGAACTCTTGAATGCGCCATAGGGGCACGGATTGCCACCGGCCAAAGCCAAATCTCTCGATCTGCTGTGCCGATCTCCATCCTCAGTGTTTGTCGATCAAGTCTAGAGGTCAATCCATCATTGAAGTTGTTCATGATGTGTTCCAACTCACCTTTCGTGACCTTGAGTCCTAGCACTTGTGCTCGGATTCTCTTCGTTTGCTTGTACTCAGTGAAGATCACTCTCTGGAAGTTGTTCCACCTCTCAACAAGTATCGGGTAGTTGACGTAGGTCGTTCCAGCCAAAGTATGTTGGTCTTTCCAAATGGCATCGTACTTCAAGATCGACTCAACATTGACCCAACCTGCCTCGTCGCATGGTAGTCCACGGTGATTTCGATTGTCTCTGACGCAACCCATGGCGGATTTTCCCACTTGTTGCCCATCCACTCATTCTCGCCATATCGATGCACTTTGCACCAGCCCATTCCAAGATATTCTTCTCCGTTGATGCGGGCAAGTTGAAGTTTACCGATGTTGTGGCCGTGTGTGAATGGTTGGATGTACTTGAAATTCCAGTTGTTTCCATGTTGTTTTCTTTCTTCAGTAAGCCATTTTATATAAGCATCATGATCAAGGGGGTTCCAAGCGTTCAGCTCTTCAATGGTCGGCAAAACAGGTGGAGATTCCTCAGCCGCACGCTCAATCAGCAAGTCAAGCTCATGACGATTCTTCACACCTCGGCTAATTGGGTTGACTTCGACACCATTCACTAAGTATTGTCCTCCTTCTTCACGATCACCAATGTCGTACATAAAGGCTGACTGACTGTAGAAGCACTTGGTCACTTCCTCTTTCTCAGTGAATCTGGTTCTTCCCCAACGCTTTCCTCGTGGCATTACGTTCTTTGGGAGCTTGTCTTTTCTGCCTCTGGTTGCAGCTTTGGATCTTTCGGATGATGATGGGGATTTGGACTTCTGATCCATGATCAGCCTCATGCGCCATATGGTGTCCTTCATGTTCTCATCATCTGGTGTAGTACATTCGTCAATGCCATGTCTTCCACCACAAATGAAACAATATTGAACATCCAATGCAACTGAAATCAGCTTCTCAAAACGATCACGGATGTCACGCACCTCGGTTCGGCGCTTCTTCGCTTCTGAAGGTTGTCCCCCCATGCCATCTTCCTCCTCCTCAATCTCGATGTCACCAGCTCCGGCATCGGTTTCTCCTGAAGTTTGTTCTGCTCGAGGGCCCCGCGCCGTAGGCGTCGTGGTCTCCTCATCAGGTTCATCAACTTCATCCACCTCTTCATCGCTTGATGAGACCTCAATCATTTCAGGGTGGTCATCGTAGTTGGCTTCTGGGAGCACCGGCATTCTGGTGATCTTCTTCTGCATGAGTAGGTCAAAAATTCCTGCTTCTTTCAAGATTGTAATCACCATGTCATTCTCGACCGGCGGGATGTATGCTTTCCTGGATCGGGTTCGCTTTGTGTTGATGGTGTCGGTAGGTCGACATGAACTGCTGAATAGCCAAAACGACTCTTCCAGTCCTGCGAGGCAACTGTCAAGGTTTGCCCCCCATCCAGCGAACATAGTAGGGAATTGAATACCCAGATCAAGCATTCCAAGCCAGAATTCGAAAATGTCGCCGACATACTCAGTTGTTGCTGTTGGATTGATCATTGATTCGATCTCCTCCTTGGTCAGCACGGTCTTCATGTAGTCATGATAAGCGACGTTTCCACCATCCCAAAGCAGTCTGTAAAACCATCGCATTCGGTGCATTCCGCCTCCGCAATCCTCTGTTCGAGTTTCACGTTGTACAGTGAACTGGGGCAACAGGTCACGTCTGCATTTCCCTTTCACCATGTATGCAGGCATTCGGATGGCACCTCGATGTGATACCTGCTTGAGCA